ACACAGTCCAACTAATTATTCACTACTGGTGGTCTTTAAGCTCATTATTAATTGCAATTATAGCTCTGGGATAAAAACTATTGAGAAAATGTGTGGTCCGAGTCTTAATTGTTCTATATCTTCTGCCAGATGGTAACAGTTCAAAAAAGTTATAAGCAGGATGGGAAGAGTCTCTCAGGATGCTACGTGATTTCCTTAGACAGCGGGATTAGGTCTTATTTTCGGGGAAACAGGGTATTACAGAACAAATCAGCTACGTGCACAAACAGAAGAAACTAAGCTTCTCATAAGTTTCACAAGCCAGAAATGGCTCATGACATACTTTCTTCATGAACATATTGTCACAAACCGGAAATATATTAGGAGCATGAAGGTACTTCTCATAGCCGTTTAAGCAATAGCCAAATGCTTATTGCTTTATTTGTCCTGCTATTTTCTTAGACGTAGTAAGAATCAATCAGTGGGACTTCTTCACCTTCCATAATCAAGAAAGAGATGTAAGCCTTCTGTTTAGGAAATAGGGGGCATGGTCTTACAGCATCAGTACTTTAGATAAATGTTCATGTGAGCAAACGGCTTGGGTCAGCAACAGTATGTGTGCTTATCCAGTTATAGTGACATCTACATTGGTTTCAGTGGTAAATGTCTTGCAATCTAATTCATGAGTATCTCAAAAGCCATCTACATCCCCTCAAGACAAACATTCCTTTTATTGACTTATATTTCAATAGCTACTGTTAGAGAGGAAACAGATTGCTTCAGACATTTTCCTTCATGCAAACCACTCCTTTTCTACATTGCATTTTAAAGCTTTTGGGGGGAAAGTGCTCTCATATTATTTGGTGTTTCTTAAAAGAAACCCTTTTATGAGAGTCAGCATAATAGACATTCTCTATTTTTAGCTAGGACTACGTATGTTTATATAACACTTTTCTGTGACATCTACCTATCAGAAACCTGCACTTACATTGCTTAATTTGATTTTATATAAAATGAAAATCATCCTTATGGGTCACATAATGCAATATCTCTGAAGGGGAAATCTGCGGAGATTTCAGAAGATAAGGCCTAAGGTAGCATGTTCACTAAAATAAGCCATATATTGTGAAAGACCTTTGGGTATATATTCTCCTTTCTTAAAAGGTTTTTTGAACTACTGAAATGTTAAGTGGCAGTGATGTAACACCACCCAGTTAATTCCATTTAGTAGGAAAACACATCAGCTTTTATATAGAAAAGTACTTCTGGGTAAAGTCAGTTTTCCACACTGATGTGTATTAATTTTTTCTTGCTTCAGCAAGGCTACTAACACTAACACTACATGAATTTTTTAAAAAATACTTAAAACATTTATTTGATCAAGATGCTAGCTAAAAGTAAAAAAATGATATCTCATAGTAGATAACCTTTAAAATAACTATACAGAACTTTTAGGGGAAACAATTATTATTTACACCTATTGTAAATGGCTCTGTATTGATCTGATAAAGAAAAGCATGATATAATCTTAAAACAAATAAATATTAACCACAAGCTATCACTGATATCTGGATTGCAATAAAGACTAAAAATTATGAAGACTCTCCTCCTTTCCACCAAAACAAAGAACTCTGTGGATATGATAGCCTGATCAGCAAACAAGACAACCAGATACAAAAAAAAGTGAGTACAGCTCTGTCCTATCTTTCTAACAGCCTGGAGCTTGTCACATCATCCATATAATGAACTCCACAGAATTACAAGTATATTCTGTTTGAGAAATGCAAAGAGAAAATGGCAGATTTGGGATTAAGATTTTTTCCATTTAAATTTTAGTATTATTTTTATCAGCTTGCCAGTTTTTCAATGTTTTCACTGTATATAAATATTGGCTCATATCTTCTTACCTAGTTTACTCTGCTGTAGCAAAATGGCTTAGTTTTTGGAAGTTAATTGGCCTAAGTTAAGAAATCACTGTAAACATTATACGTTACATACTGAGTTGTAGGACTGTACTGTACAACTGATGGCAAAGCAAGCATGCTAAAATTTTCAACAGATCTGTTAGCACCACACACTGGTTTAAATTCTGCACAAAATTCAAAAGAAATGAGTCATAGTAGCTTCAAATGGGTTGAACTGTTTTTCTCTCTCTTTGAGATACCTGAATGACAAGAAAGTGTACATGTTTTATTCCATTTTCTTAAAACCATACCTCAGTCCAACTGAAAAGTAATTCCCTAATTAGAATTTAAGTGATCAATTTACCAATGCAAGAGTCAAGAAGAAAAACTAGTTTTTTAAATAGAATCCATCTCATTATAAAGCAATGTAAGTAAAGACAAAGATCAACAAGACCAGTTTTAAATTATATGAATTGATAAATCACGTGTGTTTTCATGCTTTCATTCTGTACACCACTTTTGTCTAGCAGGAGATGCTCTGTCAAACTGTTTCGTAGCTATTACAACTTGGGGGACCGTAAGGAAAAATGTGAAACTTTGAGGAAGCCTTTAGAAAGATTCTTCTCCCACATTAACTAGGAGCATGGCTCTTCTGTCATCCATCTATGTGTTTGAGTATACAATATTTGGATTGTTTTGGGATTACAGTGGTGCCTCGCTTAGTGAGCACCCCATTTAATGACGAATCCGCATAGTGATTAGGTTTTTGCGATCGCAAAAGCAATCGCATAACAATGTTTGCGATGATCGGTAAGCTGTTTCGCTTACCAATTTTTGCATAGCGATTTTTTTCCAACAGCTGATCTGCGGTTCCAAAATGGCCGCTGGAAAAAATGGCCACCCGGTCTTTTTTGGGACGGATTCCTCGCTTACCGGGCAGCAAAAATGACTGCCATATGGAGGATTTTCGCTTAAAGGTAAGTTTTTCCCCCATTGGAACACATTGAAGGGGTTTCAATGCGTTTCAATTGGGTCTTTAAAATCACATAGCGATGTTTTCGGTTAGGGGCGATTTTTGCCGCACCGATTAACATCGTTATGCGAGGCACCACAATTAGGGTTGCTAGGGTTGACTGGGAAAGCGGGATGATTTGATGGGGATAATGAGTTTGGAGGTTATTTATGTGATTATCAACTGCCTAGAATAGTGCTCTGTACTAAATCAGACAGTATATAAATGGCTTAATACACACACATACACGTTCAACACAGGGCTGTGTTGCTGTAAAGCACCATCTTCTTTGACCTTCCAGCTTTTAATAACCTCCTCATATAAGGTTATATATGTAAAACAACCTGCCACTCCTTCCAGCTAAAGTTTCTAATATTCTAATTATGGCCTTAATAGCATAACTACATACACATTTTGCTAATTAGTTGAGAACTAACCCTACACCTGTAATTCTTACAATTCTCCTTTAAGAATTAACTTATTCTCCCCTATAAAAGGAATAATTTCCTCTTCAACCTCAAGATGTTCAACATATACAGATAAAGTATCTACTGCTTCAAATCACTGTTATACTAGTAAGATTTTTTATCCATGAACCTCCAAGACTATTTAAAGTGTGCAGTGTGTATTATTGGGGGATTGCTCAAATATAAGTACTTAAGTACATTCCCTGATGTTAGGAAAGTGTGAAGGAAAGAGGAGAAGGGGATGACAGAGGATTGGACAGTGTCACCGAAGCTACCAACATGAATTTGACCAAGCTCCGGGAGGCAGTGGAAGACAGGAGGGCCTGGTGTGCTCTGATCCACGGGGTCACGAAGAGTCGGACACGACTTAACGACTAAACAACAAACTACTTAAATAAAACAAAGTCACTAAAGATTTCACAAATGTCTGAAAATATTTTCCAAAAAGTCCGATTTTTAAATTTTGACTCCTCTACCTCCACTGTCACCACCTTATTTCTTTTCTTTTGCTGTTGAAGCAGAATGTTGGCATATATGCATTTCCTTTACTGGAATAGATACAGAGCTTATATATGTATTTTCCATATCAGTAACAGAGGATGAAATTTGGTAGTCATTTTTTTAACTGCACAGTAGTAGCATTTTGTCTTTTCTCAAATGACATTTAACCACTCCCTTAACATTCAGTAGGGAATTAGGGAGTTAACTGAGCGTAAAATGGACATTCTCAATTTAACTATTTTTTACAGAATTAACAGACATGAGACTTTTCCACTCCCAAATCAGATATTATGCTTTCTAATGAGAAAGCCTCAAAGCAGCTTCAAATGATAACACACACGACACTGTGGAAAACAAATCCTTGACTATGGCTGCAATTCTCTTCAAGTTAATTAAGTAAATGAGCTTCAGTTTCTCTATTTACATAGAAAGTAGCTCAGAGATTTTAGATTCCCTTGGCTTGAAGTTTAAAGAACACACCTCAACCATTTAACCTCACGGGCAATAACTTTTTATATTTATTCCAGTTAACCAAATGTCAAGTGTAAGATCATCTCCAAGCAACAAAAACAGTATTGTTTCATTCAAGGTGATTCTTTATGTGTGCCCCTTATTATAAAGTACACATG